AAAAGAGATCACAAAAAGGATCAAATAAAATATAAAATACAGTAACTATAAAAGTACTTCAACAGTTGAGGACTAGTCACATCAATATGACTTTCAGATTTGCTCACAAAACAGAACCACAGAAGAGACACAGCTAATGCAAGGCTCTTCCGAAAGGCTTGGGACACAGACCTAGAAATACACCAGAGAGCTGGACATATGCCTCGGTTGTCCTTACAAAGGACCAAATTCAATTCCCAGCACCTATAAGACAGCTCACAATTGTCTGTAACTTCAGTTCCAGAAGATCTGACACACTCTTCTGGCTTTCTGGGGCACCAGACATGCATGTGTTGCACAGGCATACCTGCAGGCCAAACATCTATACATATAAAATAAAAAATAAGATTTTTTAAAGGTGGCTTAAAAGAAATATACCAAAAGGACAGCCTGGTCTACATAAATGAGTTTTAGGCCAACCAAAGCTAAACAGTAAGACCCTGTATTAAAAATAAAATAAAACCAGAATACACCAGCCAACTTTGATTAGATATATTAACAACCTCAAACAATCTTGACATCCTACAAAGGCTTCTCTCGCTCAATTCACCCACAGGTAGGTTTTTTTTTTTTTTTTTTTTTTTTGGTTTTTCGAGACAGGGTTTCTCTGTATTGTTTTGGAGGCTATCGGTCCAGCCCAGCCTCGAACTCATAGAGATCCGCCTGCCTCTGCCTCCCGAGTGCTGGGATTAAAGGCGTGCGCCACCACCGCCCGGCCACAGGTAGGTTTGATGTTGGTTCTTTCCTAAGGGCTCTCACTCCCTATCCAGGACTGTCCTCTTCTTAATTTCTCAATAGAATAAAGATTCAGAAGCTGGGCGGTGGTGGCACACACCTTTAATCCCAGCACTCTGGAGGCAGAGGCAGGTGGATCTTTTTTGAGTTTAAGTTCAGCCTGGTATACAAAGTGAGTTTCAGGATACCAGAGCTGCACAGAGAAAATCTGTCTTGAAAAAGCAAACAAATAAAAGATTCAGCACAAGCACAGGGTGGCCCTGCATTTCCAAGGAGAAACATATGTCTCTTTCACTTAACTTCCCCAGAGTGAATCACGAAGCTACCGCAGGCTCCTGGGGAGGAGCGAGCTGGCTGACACAAGGCACATGGCCACTGGATGAATGCGTGTCTTATATAATACACAGTTCCAATGCAGGAAATGCACACAATAAAAAATTGACAAGGTAGAATTTTGTTTCAAAAAGCACAAAATAATATAAATAAGTTCATTTTATAGTACTAAAGATTAAAAACAGACACAAAAGGCTTAGTCTTAATTATGTAGTGAGTAGTTAAATATTATGGGTCTCTATCAAACTGAGAAGTAAACATCTACCTTGCTCTGAGCTCACAAAGACCATTCATGAGCACTGATAACACATTAGGCAGCAAAGAAATAGCTGTATAATAGTTTTATAATAATAAGGAAATAAGACAGAAATACATAAGAAGTCTTGTCTGCCTAGAAGGATGCCCCAGAACAACTCCTGGGTCAAAGGGGGAAACAAGCTAAGATAAAAGCACTATGTATCAACACACAACTAAACCAGTTTAAAAATTCACACCCAAACCAGATTCATGTAAGTAAAATAGAGACAGAAAATTAATACCCCCTGCAAAAAAGAGTCAAAGGGAAAAATAAACGATAAAAGAAAATCAGAGAGCAATAACGGTAAAAACAGAACTAAGGTAGAATGCTCAAGTTCGAATTTTATCATCAAATCAAATGAATACAATGATGAAGGTTTAACAGAGTTAAACCTAGTTATAGTTTCCTATAACTACATGTTACTGGTGACATGGACACTCTTGGTTTATACCCGTTCTTTTGATATTTCAAAAAATGCCAGTTTGGGGATGCCTTAGTTAGAATTTTCATTGCTGTGGTAAGACACAGCATAATCAAAAGCAACTTGAGAAGGAAAAGGTTTATTTTCATGCCTTCTACCTTATTTCCGCTTTTACCTGTATTGCTTTCTGATTTTCTTTAGTTGAGATTCTAAACTAGAATTTGAAATTAACTGCACATCCCCATACACTAACTGAAAATGTGACTTTTCCCAGTGGTGACTTTATATACTGTGCTCTTCAGAAAAAGTGAGAAGTAATTTGACTCCTCAGCTAAAAAGCATCACTCTTTAGCCAGGAATTAGACAGAAAACCAAGCAAGAGTTAACGCTGGCTGCAGGCATGTCTGCATCCTTCCTCAACTACGTTCCCGTAGGGGAGCTGCAAGGGACTTTGCTGGGGAAAGAAAACGCCCTGATGCCCCCCTTCCCTCCTCCAGCTTCCAGGGAGAAAAGGCGTGTAGCTTACACATAGAGCAACCATCCAATGGACCCATTCTTGTGACTTATCCATGAATATTTCCATCTAAAGCAACAACAGAAAGTCAAGCGTTACGGAACAATACTGAGAACACAGTATTGCCACAAAAGTGTTGTGCAGCATACAGGAGATGAACTCAGGCTAGGTTTTAATCTGCAGCTGGGAGATTAACAGTCAGTGACGTGAAACATCTGCAATAAGCCAAATGCCTTTCTAAATGTCTGCTGCATCCTCAAGCATCACCTGTCCATCTTATAAATGGGAGCTCTGATGATACTTGGGTTAACTAAGACATGCGATTATTAATTCTCCATTAACCCAAGGGTCTCACATGGGGATAGATGACACCACCACATATGAAAAATAAAGCCGGAGGGAGGCAAGGCAGGGCAACAAGTAAGGTGATGACAGATGTACGTAATGTCATACCCATAGGACTCTAAACATCTAAAACTGATACAAAACCGTAGTCTTCCCATTATAACTCAAAGAGAACTAGGTCTGGTTTGGGATTTCAAGCTTACATACTTACAATAAATCTCATGAAGCTCTATATATACTTCTTCTCCTAAGCTTCCCAGGACCAAATGTTAACCAAAACCTGCCAGTTCTCATGGTACAAAGAACACCTGACCTGGCTAAAACTATTTATTTATTAACATGTTTATTTATTAAAAGACTAGCGACCAAGTTTTTGGCTCCCAAATCCTATAAAACTCAACCCATCTGCCCTTCCCCTTCCTTGAAAAGAGGAGCTGACAGCTTTGGTGAATATGTGGATAATCATGCTACAGTCATTTCCAACACCCATAGGCCTAGCTAGGTATTTTAAAAATATAAACTCACCGATCACTAATCATGAGATACATGGTGGATTGTAGCAAAAGAAACCTAGGCCCAAAGTTAACCTTTTCCAGGTTCTGAAGCCAGGATAACAACCTGACCTGCTGCTTCCACATGAGTATGATGTCGTAACTCTATGCAAACTGAGTGTGAGTGGTGGAAGATGAAGTCTTCCCTCATTGCCTGTCACTGACAGGGCAGCAGCAGTCAAAAAGACATTTCTTCAGAAATAGATCCTTCAAAATCCTTGTAGATGACTGCCTCAAGATTTGACCTACTTTCCTCAAAACAATGCATGCACCTCCTGCCCAAAAGAAATGTCCATAACTGGCTCAAGGAAGCACATCTTGATGTGAAATTCGTTGTTCGTTCAAATCAATCACCTCCTATGGTGAGGCACTCTGCCATTAAATTTCACACAGTGAATCTCGTGTTTGGTGACTCACAGACAGTATTAGTATTTGGCATCTGCATTAAATACCAGCAATGCTTCTTGTACCTCTTAAGAAGGAAACAGAGTATAGGCTACAGTTTCAAGCCTCATATTATATCAGAAATGTAGGACCTAGTAGTGATAAATGCCCTTAAAAGTTCCCAAGGATAGTCTCCCACCTCTTTATCTTGGCAGACCATGCTACCATGCACTGTATCAAAGAGACCCTAAACACTTTCTGGAGATGGAAACATAACGGGGCTCCACTAAACTGTTACATAATAACGAATATTATAATCAGCAGCCAAATGAACGAAGTTGGAAAAACCAAGTCAAAGCTCATTGGGTATGTTTTCAGAACTAAGTGTCCAAATTGAATTTGTACAGAACTAAAATAGCATCTCATGATGCCTCAGTAAAGTATATACTAGTCCTTCCCGATAATTAAAATCTGCTCTTGATAAAGATCTTTCACTTTCAAATGGAAAAAAAATTGAAGCACACGCGTAATTTCTGCGGCTGTCATAAACAGCTGAATCATTCATATAATCAACAGCTCAGAATTCTTCCACAAGCTCTCGGTTCAGGTTCTGCTTTTTGAAAGATCAGAATGTAAAGCCTTCCCGACTACAGCATGTAAGAATTATACGAGATCACGGGATTCCCAAAAGATACTGACTTTAAACAGAGGCAATGTTACCGTCCACCAAACAGGAGGCCCGAGCTACGCATACAAATCACTCCAGCAAAGGAAAAACACACCATCCGAAGAAATGTTTGCAAGGCCCATGGGGCGCCGACCTCGCGCTCCCAGTGAGCCTCTAGTAGATGCTAGGCGCCAGGCTGAATTCCAGGACCTCCCTGCCCTGGCTCCCTCAGGTGAGATACGGCCCGGACAAGGGTAAATTAACGAAACCGGTTCGCCAGGAAGGTGATGAACCCGGAGGGGAAAGTACGGCGCGGACCCTGGCACCAACATCAGACCACAGGCCACGCGAGGGGTTCCCCCCACCGGAGGTGGGGGACAGAAATCTCCGAGGGCGTGTGGTCGTTCTGGGCTGTTAAAGGGTGCCTGGGTTCTTCGGGTGTATGTGGGGGGGGGGGGCAAGGCCTGCGGATCCCCGAAAGGTTCTGGGGCTTGCGGTGTATGCACACTAGAGTCCCTCAGGCATGGCCAAGGGGATGCGATGGCCCCTAGGGCTGCGGGACCCAAGGCCGAGCATGGGCCATCTGGATGTGTTCTGAAGGCCGTTGGGAACCCAGGAACCCTAAGAGGTTGTGCGGGGCACTCTACGGTGGCAGCCGGCTGGGCGGGGAACGGGGCACCAAGACCCCTAAGGGCAAGAACTCTGACGCTCACCCGAACAACCCTCGCAGGAAGGAGTGGGAGGCCTTCACTCGTTTCTCGGCCTCCGCCATCAGCTGGACCGCTTCTCGCTCCTTCCCTGCGTTGTCCATGTCGCCCGCCGCCGCCAAAGCCTCAGCCGCCGACTTGAGATGCTCCCGGGACGACTTAACCCTCTCTAGCAAGTGCCGGCACGCAGGCGCGGTGCGTGGGGCCTGTAGGGATCTGTAGTCCTAGACTCCACCATAGTGGCAGCTGTGTCAGAGGCCACAACTACAGTTCCCAGAAGGCGCTGGGCAGCGCCGGGCGGGCGCCTGTGCTGCAGACCCTGAGTTCCCAGGGCTCCAGGAGGAGGGAGAAGGGGCGTGGCCCTCTGGAGGGGTCTTGGGCCAAGGTGGACTTCAAGGTTTTAAGGAATGAAGAATTAGAAAATTACCGGTAGCTTCCAGGGGAGATAACTTAGAATACGCAGCATCAGGAATCACTGACCATGACTGAGACGTAGCAATGGATAGATGGTTGACCAGAGCATGTTTAAAAAAAAAAAAAAAAACCAACCGGGAACGCTCAACCTACATGAAGGTACTGCAAAAGGTTATCTAATACAGCAGCTCAGTGCAATTTGGCCAACTCTGTGGTGCCCCCACCCCCCCCCCCCAGCTCTCCCAGAAAAGGAGCAACAGCTGGCCTAAAGAGTTATTTTTAATTTCTGAGAGCAAGATGTTAAAAATGCATCATTTTCCCCAATATAAATTCAGAGTTGTTTTTAAGCGTTCCTAAACTGCAACTTTCTTTTGGTGCTGTTGTTTAGAAATAAGTTGCATATCTTCTGTATAGGCATAATCCACTTATTTTATTGTCCGAATTCTATTAAGTGGCTATGAGCCAGTGAACTCCTTTATTCTTTACATAATGCTGGCCACAGTGGGTGGATCTTGACAAACTCCTGACTGGCAGGAAGATTTTTAATCTACTAAATATCCATAGATAGATGCAATCCTGTGCCAATGTCTTCTAGGCCTGTCCCCGAGGGAGTTGTTTTTTAATACAATGTCTAGACCGTCAAGGCTTGGCAGCGCTAATGCAGAGGTGGTGAGACAAACAAAATCACTGCCAAATGAGAGCTTCTGATGATTTAAAACTCTTCATGAATACGCTGTGGGGACTGGAAAACAAAACATCTGAAGAAATGAAGCCTGTCTTCAGAGAACAAAGCAAGACAGTTCAAACTCCTTGAAACAAGTTACCAAAACTGATGTCACAGAATGGCAGGGCCCAACCACTGTAGGTTGCTCTCAAGATGGAAGGGAATATCAGCCCTTGGTGCGCAGGTTTACCTACAACTCCTGTGAGCACTCTTCTCATTTTGGAAAACTAATTCGTATGCTTGGAGCAGTAGGTTGCAGGCAGGAAGGAGGGAGGAAATTGGAGGTGGCAGTGGATGGGTTGAAGAGAGAAAAATGGCAAAAGTGGATGGACATCGGCGATGTCGTTTGTAAAGGGAGCAGTTGGGGGATTTGGTAGAGTGAGCCAACTCAAAAGCACCCACGTGTAGCATCAAGTGTTGAGCAGAGCAATTCCCAAGCCTGTCTCAAGGGAACAGCTTTGCAGGACAGTCAGGAAATAGGGATTCCCCCTGTCACCATTCTTTGATGTCCCAATCTCCACTCCACCCTATTCTAGGGCTAGCCATTCTAAATTCCACAATTTTACCTGAAAAGGAGCTAGAATAGATTCCCTAAAAAGCACACCTCAGAAACCAGACATTTCACACATAGGCCTTTGATGGGTACTGATTCAAACTGTGGCACCTGCCTCTCAGTGGCTCTGGGTACATCCTATTTAATGGACATTCAGGATACATGGACATTCAGGCTGAGTCAATACAGAAGAGAGTAGACTAGAAGGTTAAACACCCACCATTCATATGAAATGCTCCATAAAGGCAGGACTGAAGCTATCTGAAAGCCCCAGCTCAGACAGGGAGCAGAGATGTAAATAGAGGATGTGGCCATCTGCTTGTCGTTAGAGTTCCAGTTAGAGTAGAATCACCTTTTACAACCAAGCTCAAAAGTAACGAATGGTATGACACACATCTACACTGAAACAAATAGGTAAAGTTAGCCTACATACAGGGAGGGGAATTGGATGCTGTCTCTCTCTCTCTCTCTCTCTCTTTTTTTTAAAACGAAACAGGGTTTCTCTGTATTGTTTTGGAGGCTATCAGTCCAGCCCGGCCTCGAACTCACAGAGATCCGTCTGCCTCTGCCTCCCGAGTGCTGGGATTAAAGGCGTGCGCCACCACAGCCCCAGCTGGATGCTGTCTCTTGATGAGAGGGACTCAACCTTATTTATTTATTTGTTTGTTCGGTTTTAGTTTTTTTTATAAATTTTTATTTAAGTTAGAAACAGCCTTATTTTATATATCAATCCCAGTTCCCTCTCACTTCCATCCTCCTATGACCCCCACCGATCCCCTCATTCCATCTCCCACCAACTCCCCAGGGAGGGTGAGGCCTTCCATGGGTTATCATCAAAATCTGTCATATCATTTGGGGCAGGGACTAGGCCCTCCCCCATGTATCTAGGATGAGAGAGTATTCCTCCAAATGGAATGGGCTCCCAAATTCCATTCATGCATTAGGGATAAATATTAGTTCCACTGCCAGAGGCCTCATAGACTACCCAGGCCTCCTAACTGACACCCACATTCAGGGGGCCTGGTTCGGTCCTATGCTGGTTCCCCAGCTGTCAGATTCAGGTCTGGTTCGAGAACTCCAACTTGCTCAGATCAGCTCTTCTGTGGGTTTCTCCAGCATGGTCTTGACCCCTTTGCTCATCATTCCTCCCTCTCTACAACTGAATTCCAGGAGTTCAGCTCATTGTTTAGCTGTGGATCTCTGCTTCTGTCAATGTAGTCCTGGATGCCCTGGACTTGCTATATAGGACAAGATGACCTCAAACTCACAGAGATCCTCTTGACTCTGCCTCCTGAGTGCTGGGATTAAAGATGTGTAACACCATGCCCAGGCTGGAACTCACACTCACCTTTTTTTTCTTTCAGACAGTTTCAAACTACCACAGGTGCATTAGAGGAAGTCAGTCTACAGTCTGGTCCATCTTGGTAATGCTGACCTTATTGTGTGTCTGAAGACCACCAGACTGAGGAACAGCTCTTTCTTTGGTGGTCCTTCCAATCCTAAGGGATGTCCTAGGGGTTTCTGTTCCATTTTCTAGGATATCTGTGTTAGTTTCTTCTGCTAAGACATCTGAAGGTTATGATTTTGAACTGCTGGCGTAACTGCTGAGTGGAAATGTTTCAGTTTCCCCAAGCTCTTTGACTTCCTTTGGTACACAATTTGATGTTACATTAAAAAAAAACTTGGAGGAAAGTGATAGTTCCCCATAAGTGTACATCTCTAAAAGACTCTTTTCACTCTAAGAGTGTATGAGAAAGAGAGAAAGACAGAGGGAGGGAGAGAGAGAGAGAGAGAGAGAGAGAGAGAGAGAGAGAGAGAGAGAGAGAGAGAGAGAGAGAGAGAGAGAGGAGGGAGGGAATATGAATGTGAGTGAGTGTGTGTGTGTGTGTGTGTGTGTGTGTGTGTGTGTGGCTGATGTTTCCTTAATTGTGTTCCATCTTATTTTTTTGAGACAAGGTCTCTCACTGAACTAACTGAACTATAACTCACTGTTTAGGCTACACTGTAGGATGGCCAGCCAGTGGGTGGGTGGGATCAGCCTTTCCTGTCCTTCCCCTAGTCTTTCCCTAGCACCAAGGTTACCGATATTTTGTGCCTAATTTTGACAAGCTTCTGATCCACACAGGCATCCCCCAACCACTCTTTTACTTTTAACACATTCATTCCCATTTAATCTTCATTCATAAATGTAAAGCTACATAGACGTCATCAAGGTGTACATTTGTCATGTATATTCTGTGTGTGTCAAGCCTTTAGGGCACCTGCTAAGAGGGACCATTTCCATTGCAAAGCACTCAGGAGATATGACTATAACTGCTAACTGCCAATAGCTGAACACATTAGATTTGCATAACTCTTTCCCAGGGAGGCATAGCTGAGTTGTATGAATTTTGACTGCTGTGGAAATACTCACATCTGTCCTGAAAATGAGCTCTTAGCTGGAACGCCCTGCTGCCAGCTGATTTAAGAGAATGTTAGCAGCTCTTCATGGTCATTTGGAAGAGCTCAGTAACAGACTTTGAAGATGCAGTCGATTCTTATTATTCCTGGATTCCATGTTTGTAAATTCACTTACTTTTTAACACTTGTGATGCTTTTGCAGCCACTGTGAACACATCCAGTGTGGTGAAAGATGTGAATGGACTGGCATGTAAGTTCCAGCTAGGGTTGAATACAGTGGCCTCGAACTTCTGGGTCCCTTTCATAGCCTTTGTAGTGCCATGACTTTTCATTTTAGTGATTTTTTTATGTTGAAGGATTTTGTGAATATCCAACCTGGAAATGGAAGATTTTTGGCTTTCTGCCTCCATAACTACATGAGCCAATATTGCACAACAAATCTTTCCTTATGTATATCTCAATATGTATACACATGTATCTATGTTCTTACTGGTTTCCTGTCTCCCAATTCATCTACTGCCTGCTACCCTTTCTCCAGGGCCTGTAGGGATTCCACCAACGAGGCCTGAATTTACCTAACCAATCATAAAGTAGAGGTCAAGGGGTGAGTGATAATGCAGCATTTGTTTCCCAGTCCCTCCACAAAGAGGCCATTTGACACTCCCCGACTCTTTCAGGGTTGTTCCATTTTCCTCATTGTTCTTGCTTAGGAGTACTAGCATTGGTACTGCTATTTGAAGACTTCCCAGTCCCCTGTGACCCCTGGTTCCTCTGCATTTTCACCATTGTGTAGACATTCTGTTTAGATCCACATTCTTGAATTTCCTTCCTTCCTTCCTTCTTTCCTTCCTTCCTGCCTTCCTTCCTTTCTTCCTTTCTCTTCAAGACAGGGTTTGTGTGTGTATCCGTGGCTGTCCAGGAACTCACTCTGTAGACCAGGCTGACTTTGAACTTAGAGATCTACCTGTCTCTGCCTCCCGAGTGTTGAGATTAAAGACATGTGCCACCACCACCCAGAATTCTGGAATTTTTCTTATTGCTATCGTATCCTTGTTCACTTGCCCCACTCATTGTATAAGGTTAGTATGATA